TATCTATCTATCTATCTATCTATCTATCTATCTATCTATCTACCTATCTATTATATACCCAGCTATTTATCATCTATCTATCATCTATGTATCATCTATCATCTATCTATCATCTATCCAGCTATCTATTACTTATATCTATCTATGTGTGTGTGTGTGTGTATGAATTTGTGTTTGTGTTTCTTTGTAAGGGGCAGGGGTGATTTTCCATGTCAGTCCTTAATTTTCACCTTGTTTGAGGCAGAAACGCTTTTACCATTACTTCATGCACTCAACTAAATGACCCTTAGCTGTCCAGGTATTCTTTCTCTTCCTTCTGTCTCACAATAAGAGTACTGGGATAAGAAATGTGCAAGATACTGCATCCAGCTTTGCATGGACTCTAGTGTTCTGAATTCAGGTGCTCACGGCAGATGTTTTCTTCATTCAGCCATCTTCCTGACCCCGACTTATTGTTTATTTGTATAACAGGTCCTACTAAAAGAGAACAATATCACATAGCACCATCTTAAGAAAGATATATTTCACTTATATAAGGGGATCTGATTTGGTTGGAGTGGAAATAACTGAAGTATATTGGTACACTGGAAGTGAGAAAAAATGTCTGACCACCTATTAGGTATCATTGACTGGGGTGATGTTATAATATCTAATTTATAGTTTATAGAATAGAAGCTTTTAAATGTTGCCTTATCAAGCAGCATTCTAATGATACTTTAATTCCAACTTTGAGACAGAGTCAATAGATGTTTGCATTAAAGGTCCTGTGATGGATAAGTCTGGGGCCTCCTCAATGTCATTAACTCTTGTGTCTTCCTTCTTCACTCTATCCGCAAATGCTTATCTCATTTATTCACTTGACTCTGTAGCCAAGAGACTCACTTGCTGAATGCCCGAAATAGAGTTCACCAGTAAAGCTCAGGATATTTATGGAAATGAAACTGGAAACAGAAGATAACTCTTGAGAGAGAAACAGAAAACATTCCGACCAGACAACTGAGGTGCATGGAGTGTAACGCAGCATTTTTATTGTAAAAGTCCATATGATAGGCAATTCCTTTGTGAAAAGATTTGCAAATTCATAGACAGGGAGCAGCTGATGGTTCAGAATTGGACTGTATATGATATATATCCGTATTGCCAGTGTTAATACACATGTTGGAAAGCTAGCTTTAATTTTTATTTCCATGTTCCGACTGCAAAACACATTTCAAATAGACAATAATATCTTGTTTCTCACAAATTAATTTTGCCAGCAACTCTCCCAAAGAGTCAACATTGACTATTTTGACATTTTAAAATGAAAAATTAATCATTTATTTACATCTGTTTGAGGTTATATACTGACGCACTGGTATATTAAAGGTTTGTACAACCAGCAGCTGAATGTTTTCAAGATTCATCCAGATGAATTGTAATGACTTCATGTGGTTTTCTATTAACAGAGACACTTTCTTTAATTGTCTTATTATCTATAAATTTACACTATGATTTAACTTTGATTTGAATTAATATTTTCCTTAAAGAGTAACTGAAGATAAGGTCATATTTTAGAAAAATAAAGATTCAGAATAATCGCATTAATGTCCAACTTATCATGTCTTAAGTCAGCCAATCACTCTATTTAATTACTATGGAGCAAAATGACCTCACAGTCAGAGGCCCTATGTCCTCCATGCAAGTTACTCAATGATGTTTCTGTTTTTAATTTAACCTTCAGTACATTTTTTCCAAGCATACTGTATACCAGTCAGGTATGAATATTGCTCATACTTTCATAGGTTCACAAGCAGAATTATTAGCAGATATAATTACTTCTTTTAAAAAATGGGATAGTCAAGAACTCTATGCTTAATTCATCAATTGCATTCATAGGTATAGGAAATAGATATTATTTTAAAATAAATACCCTTTGCAAAAAACAAATTTTTGAAAATGAACATATAAGGTACAGTTCTTTAGATTCTCTGGTTGTTTCTACAGATAAAGAAGCATCACAATTCAACAGCAATGTGAAAAGATGAATCACTTGTTCTGGGTCAGAAAAAGTTATTCACCAGACTACAAGAGGATGTGTTGCTCCCAGCCATATTTATTGAGCACTGACTATATGACAGTGCAAGATGTTGAGAACTAAAAGAAGAATTGACAAGGACTCTGCCCACAAGGCATTCACAATCGCTACAAGCAGATATTGAGATAGAGAGCAAGTTCTGTTAAGAGTGCACATCTTCAAAGTAAGGTAAAACATCAGCAAGCACATACATTTACTTTATATGCTAGTGATGAATTTGGGCGTATTTAGAAGCTGTCAAATGTCAATCAGCCTAAATTGTGCTCAAGATGTTTTAATGTCATACAAGACAAACATAATTTTTAAAACCTGAATTTTCATGCATGAGGGAGAAGGTAGTGAACCCCCTCCAATTTCAAGCCAAAATCCTTGTAATTATATTAATATATTATTTTATAGCCCAAAGGAAAGAAAATAAAAGACAATGCTATATGATAACATGAGTTCATTTATTTTGACTCTAAAGAGATTGCATGCATTAAACCTGAAGCATTCTACATTACTGAAATATTTACATCACTGTACAGATGATATGAAGGAAATTTGCTTCCTACCTTGGAATAAAGGTATAATAGAGTTCTAATCTAGGCTTGTCCATTGTGATTCTTCACAAGTACAGGAGGTATTCTAATTTGTTCCAATTTACCACAACTTGACCCCAAGTGAACACAGCACACAGCTTTATACCATTTGTACTAAACTATACATGAATCAAAGACTGATAATGCCACTTTAAACACAGCTTTCACTGTTTCCATTGCTGTTGCTCAAAGATATCTTGCTCAGTGTAACAGCTCTTGTTCTAACTCTACTTTGCCTTGCAGGTTTGAATGACAGTGCACGCTGAAATTCAGATTACAATAACCAAAGGAGAGTTGGGCACGGATAATATGACATTATATGTATTACTAAGTTGAGACAGAGAAACACATTCAGTGACCACATAGGGGATTATATCATTGGACTTAGAAAGAACATTTTTCTCTCCATGAGTTTCAGTGAATAAGACCCCTATCAATAAAACCCATACCTCCTCACAGATAAAGATAGGAGACCCAGTAAACAAGATTGAACAAGCAAAAGGCTGTAGGGAAGAAGATCCGGGCATAGGAGTCCATTTTGGCAATACGAATATGTATCCTCCCATGTCTCCAGGCTCCTGTTCGGCAATCTTCAAAACAGCAGAAGAAACTGGCACAGTCCTTGCCATCCAAGCACTCATAGCCATATTCTTCATCCCTCTCTTGAAGGTGTGTGGCATTGTTCATTTGGATGGTTGCTGATCTGGGACGGATATCAATGGTAGGGGCCTGAGGCAGGGTAGGTAAGGAGATAGAGCAAAGTTAGTCACAGTGGAGCTGTATAACACAGTCTCTCCACAATGTCATCAATGAGATGATGAATCTGAAAATGAGTATTCAGAAAATTGCTTATGACATCGTGATCTACGATGGTAAAATTGAACTCAGAAAGATAGCACGGTTGCAGGTTTCAGATTTTGAGCTTAAGCAGTGCAGCTGGAAATAATGTTATCAAGCTAATAGCTACAGCAAGGCTATTGAACACCAAAAGAAATCAACGTATAAATATTTAAATCAAACTACATGGAATCTCATTCTTTTAATTATTAGATGTGAAGCTGGTTACATGGAGCTAGTTAATGATACTGCAAGTGAGTAAAATAGATAAATAAAAATGCATTGATTTTCAAATCAAATTGCATGTCATGCTAGGATATAGGCAAATAGGAGCCATCATACTGAACAACTATATTGAAAAATTTTAGTAGCAAATGCTAATATGCATGGAGAAATGACTTTCATTGATTTTATGCAACAAAGATTTAATTTATGTATTAAAAGTATGTAGTCTGTCTAAAATTCACCAATTTAAAATTTAAAACCATCAGTGTTTATATACATTGAATGATGTTGAGGATTCCAAAAACAGGTCATTACTTCTTGTTAGTTTTTCTTAGCAATATGAACTGTAATTAATGACAAGGTAATCTAAGATTCAATGCATGACCAACAATAAAATTAAAGCAAAACTCAAGGCTTCTTTATGGCTTTTAAAGTGTATCAACATAGTAAACAGTATTTTATAAATCAGTCATTAGAGAGAACAAAAATCTCGTTTTGATATTTCACAGAGCCAACAGGCCCAGCAATCACCCTGGCAGAAAAGGAAAGAGAGTTTAACCTATAGTCTGGTAAAGACAGTTTTATTGTTATAAAGTTCTCAAGTATATAGAGATTAAGTTCATAAAACAAATTTTAAATCTTTTAATTAGTCTTTAAAGAGTTAAATTTTAGGTTTATCAGTGTATATATATGTATATATTAATATGTATGTGTATATGTATAAAGTATATGTAAAATCTGTAAATGATGACAAATGAAATGGATTTTATTTACATATGATGAGACATGGACTTTGGGTTCATAGAAGCCTTGTTACCTATGATAACTTGTGGTTTTAAGATGAATGCAGAATCAAAGCCTATGCAAATTATGTCTAGTTGCTGAATCAACTCTAGAGGTATGTGTAGTGTCCTCCACCTTTAGTGTCTCATTGTCTAGTAGGTTATTTAAATGTTTACTCATTGAAAAAAATAAAGCATCATGGGAAGCATTAGTAGTTAATTTCAGCAGTCGCATGCAGTGAAATTTCCATTCCAAAAACAGTATACCTTGAAGGAAAACATCCGAAGAAGCTTTGGATTTGTAGACAGAAAAGAGAATTGCATATAATTTTTTAATAAAAAGAAGGAAAAGGAAAAAAAGAGAAAGAGAAACAAAATAAGACAAATTAAAAATACATTTTGAAAACGCAGTAAGTAAAATGAACTCAAAGCATAAACACAGAAAGTGGGCTCTGAATCTGTTGTAATTTGCATATCTAAAGTTAGAAAGTGAAACGGTGTGATTGGTAATCCAATCCTTTCCAAATTACCCCCACAAGTATGGTACTATGAAAGCCAATGTTGTCATTTGCAATGATACTTCCTTGTGAATATTTGTCTCTAGAAAAGTAGTATGAACTGTGTAATTGTCCTGTAAGAGGACCCTGTATGTGAGTCCTGACAATGAGGAATGAAGGGCACATCAAACAGGAAGTTTTCAGCTTCTTAGACCTTTACCATCTAGACTAGTTCTGGTAAATAAACAATGTGGCTTGAAGGAGAAAGTGCATAATATTCTCCAGGAATTACATTTTCTTGTTTTCTCTGGTCTCTTTTCCTTTCAGCTTTCATTTTTTTCTTTTGCTATTGCTATGCACCTAGGTTAAAGAATCCAACTATTTCTGTCTCTGTAGCAAATTCTACACTGAAGTAACAGGAAAGCCAGGAGGCTTTGCTAAAGGACCTGAGCCTTTAAAAGCCTGCCTCCCATCCTCATCCCAAATGAGTATCAGCCAGCCATCTTATTTGAGGTAGAATGACTCAGGAAATGAGGGAGAGAAATGAAGTAGAGAAACAAAATTTAAAGCAAGAAAAATCAAACAGGAACATGAAAAAGTGGAAAGGTAGAGACCGAAGAACATACAGGGAAAGGAAGGACCGCATACAGTACAATCAATATTTTGGACGTTAAAATCAAGCATTTCCTCTTTTCATTAACCAGTAAGAATAATGATATTATTTTATTTACCTTCCACCAAGTCTTGCTTTCAAATAAACATGTCATTTGTCAAGTTTCTTAAGTATTTCTGAGGTGCATCTGGATAAGAGTCAGATGCAAATAGAGTTTTCTATAGCCACAGTTTATGGTCAGATAGATAGCCACTGTGGTGTTGCTCATGCCTTTCAGAGCAGAAAACCAGGAAAGGATGCCAATCAAGAAGGTAAGACCATTATTCCTGCCACTCTCTCAAAAGGAGATAAAATTTTACTGTCATGGGGACTCCTGTGACAGAGACATTAGGCTCAGGTGGGTAAGTGCATATCTACATGCTGCCCTCAACACTCCCAGTAAAAGACAAAAACTCTAATTATTTATCCTTGTTCCTCATTCTCTCGTTTTAAGGTTTAGTACAATCAGAAATCATCTTACCTGTTTCCAAATCAAGCAGTTACCAAAAACAAAAATTAGGTTGTCAACTTCCATTGCTGCCCATCAAGGTTAAGAACCCTCATGTGACTTTTTCTAATGTTTTTATGTTTTGTTGGGTTATTGATCTTTATCATAAATTTTTATAGAAGCCTTATTTGACATTTGTTTTTAATATATTCATTTTATTGTATATGAGAAAGCAGAGACAAGAGGCCCACACAATCTCAATTCATTTGTTTTGAAAACAAAACAATACATGTAGGGATATAACGAGTAGAAATATTTTAGTAGTAAAATACATATGCCTGCATAAACAGACAGACACACATATGCACGCACACATACCCACACACATGCATACACACACACACATACACACACACACACACACCTACACATATGTATGCACACACATAAGTTATTTACAAATTGGTATGACTTAATAAACTAATGCAAGAACTTAAAATTTGTAATACCTTTGATGTGGATTTTAATTAAAAAATTACTTATGTAAAAATACTGTAGCAAATTGGTCAGAATGATCAAAGTCCTTGACATGTAAAATAATAACTCAAACACATATGCATCTCTGAATATTCTTTAACTCCCCCCCCACACACACACACGCACATGTTGAAAACAATGGGTCATTTCGTTTGTATAAAGAGTCTGACTTAGAGTATCTTGGAACTCTGATCTAACTAATAATAATAACTAAAACTTTATGTCATGATTGAAAGCTCACTTATTTTCTTTTCATCACAGAGCTCAAAGTACTGAGCCTCAGTTTTCAGTTGAGCTGACTACATCAAACCCAATGGCCTGTCCTCACGAAGAGATCAGTTATCCCGATAGAAAATGATACATACAGGGTTTTTCTTCTTTTTGTCTTTATCCTTGCTTGGTTTCCGGTTGCTGACAAAATAATGCAGGGTGCCATACTCCACCAAAGCAGAAAATACAAAGATGAAGCAAACAGATACAAAGAGATCCATTGCTGTGACATAGGAGACCTTGGGCAGAGATTTTCGGGCTATGGTGCTGAGAGTTGTCATGGTCAGGACAGTAGTGATTCCTGTGGAGAGCACAATAAAATGAATCATGTGGTGGCATCAGTGATATCCTAAGCAAAAGAGGAATGATGCTCTGTCCAAGCTCCTGTGGGTAGAGATGCAATTGACAACTGGACAGCCTGACAACAATTACTTTACACTGAACTACATTTTTAATTTTCATATGCATTTGTAAATACAAGAAAATATGTATAATGAAATCCCAGGAAGTTGGAAGCTATTGAATCATCTGGATTTGGAAAGGGAGATGGTCCTAGGAGTCTCCACCACCAGCTATTAGTAGAGGAGTTGTCCTAGGATTTTTATTGGCTTTTAAAGTGTTAGATTTAGGGTTGAAGATTGGAAAATAGTGTCTACTTTTACAAGGTTTGTGAGAATTAGATAATGTATTAATGTGTTGTTTTAAGAATCTGGACTGTTGTTCAAGGGTTCATGTGATAAGAGTCTTCATCTTGATGCTTTTGGGACATGGTGGAACATTTAGTGGCACAGGAGGAAGTTAGGGCATTGGAGGTGTACAATTGAAGAGATATTAAGATGCCAGTCCTGTCCCTTCTCTCCACGTTTCATCTATCTGGTTTCCTCCTTGATGAACTTCAACCATGATGTCACATGGCTCAGAACAACAAGGCTAAATGGCCATGTTCTGAAACCACTGAAACTATGAACCAAAATAAATCTTCCATTCATACTGATTTATTTTATATACTTGTTACTCTAATACAAAACTGACTACTCAGACCACTGAGATCTAGTAAAGTCTCAAGTATGGTTACGTATTCATGCTGTTTATTTTGGAGATGATCTACTTGCTCTACTAAAAGAAACAAATTAGGTTGGGTACACATTAATTCAAATTGAACTCCTTGATTGTACCTAATTGCCTTCTTTATTTTTGCAGAGACCTTTAAAGCTGATGTGGAAACTTGGCTTTCATTTCCACAATCAGGCCTGAATCTATATTTGAACATTGAAAATGTGAAAACGTAACTATTTTTGGTGGAAACTATAGATGAGTTTATTTCAGAAGACCCTGAATGTGACACTTAAATCAAAACAAATTCTGACACATAACATAAGTACTATCTCACAAAGCAGAGAAATGTTAATAAGGACACAACAAAGTTCATCATGGCTACACAATGTGTAGCTTGAGGAATTGTGTCATAGTTCCAGGGTTCTTCCTGAGGTCACGGAAAAGGGAAAAGCTATGACATTAGGAAGGAAGGAAGTCATGGTTTTACCTGACTCACCAACCACCAATAAGGTAATGATGTGATTTTGAAGCCCAGTTTTATTAACTGGACAAATTAAATTTGTATAAACTTGGCAAGAGAAATGAGATGAGGAGTGTTCACTAATTACTCCAGGTTTGGCATGAAGTGAGCTTCTCGAGGATGCTGTCTTACCTTAGACTATTTGAGTGAAAAATACCAACATGTGTTTTCATCTTGCCCTGCACCCATTCTCAATACAGCATGATTAACTTTAACAGTACTGGCTGTGCAACAAACCACATTCATGTGTTACAAGATCCAGTAATAAGTCACCATAAATTGGCTCATATCTCTGAGTGTTATCATACAAGTCAGATCTATCTGCTCTGTGACAAGAAGCTCAAAATCTGCAAATGTTCAAGGTAATCTCATTTAGATTTTGATGATAAATACCTGAAAAGATCATGGAGCTTCACCAATATGAAATCATGTTTTAAAAAGTCATGGCAGACTTGACTCTTTGGGGAATAGAACATTAAAACACAAAAGCCTAAGACCTGGCCTAGGCTTGAGGTAAATTAAATAAAGTACCTCATGAGTGGAAATAAGCTACCTGTACTTCTCAAACATTCTTAGTGTTAGAGATCTATAGCTACATTTAAAAAGCACTAATCTAAAGAACTGAGAAAACTTTAAAAGAGATGTGTACTCAGCTCGGCTTCTTTTCTTTGGTGACAAATAGAATTGAGCAAGTCCTCACACCTAGGACAAAGCCACAACCAATTTTCCAAGTTGCAGGTCTGTTATAAACTTACTGTGTAACTTCGTGGATATCATTTAACATTCAGCACATTTGCTCGCTTATCACAGCTCTAAAATATGATAATTTGTATTATTACAACTTTTACATGTGATTGCAAAGCAAAGAAACTGCTAGAACATTGAGCATCCCTGACTGACACACCCTCAAAGGAGAACCTGCTTCCTGTCTTATCAAGGGCCTTCCATCAACACACCTTGATATTTTCTTTTCAAGTGGTTTGTTGCTAGAGAACACTTATTACTGAGTAGTAGAAATGAATTGGTCACATGGTCATAAAAGATATATCAGTCAAAAGAATCAGGCCTTCAAAAGAAAAGACTGACTGAATTATGTTTTAAAAAATAATTTGGGGAAGATGGTTTATTGAAATATATCAGTGCATTTGTTATATCTAATCATAAACATAAAATTTTCACTGAATAATTACTGATGCAGTAGCATGTTAGAAGCTCTATGCCAAGGATGAGAAACACATCTATTATTTCTTCCAAGAGATGGTAACATACAAAAAAGAAACACTCTTCCAGTGTTTTGCTTAACATACTTGGATTTTGTTTCAGTATGTGGCATTAGACAGAATATTTCAATTTTTGAATAGGATTTGTAACACAAAGTACTGCACATATCAGAAAAAATCAAAATGACTTCATTTTGTAACAGATGGGAAACTAAATTGGGTTTGGAAAAGGACAGATATGCAAATGTTGTCTTTTCCTCAGTAATCACTTCTGCCCTCAGTTTAATAACCTGGTACAGATCATTTTGTCAGAAACAATAAGCGTCACTACCATTTTTTTGAAGCATTTCTCTGCTCAGTGTGCTTTGCATAAAATATGTTACTTTAGCCCAATAAAAACCTTCAAGTTATGAGTCGGGAATGATATCTGTTTTACATGTGAGGAGACCATGAGTTAGAGAGAATGCGGTTTACTGAACCACCCTATTTTATATTTGGCTGGGAATTTAAATTACTAGACCTGATAATCCATGTACTTCTACTACTTTCCCCAACATGGAGTGAGCAAGGCCTGTGTTATTAGATTGCACATAGCTAATAAAGAGGACTGAGGTTTTATATTCAGCCTGTGGATGGAGACTATAATGTCCATCTGAGTCAGCTTTGCTTTGGTCTGTAGAAGTCTTCTTCCACTAATAAAGAAAAGATGAAAATCTAAGATAGGGATTACCATACCCAAAATACTGATTAAATTACAAATAATTATAAAATAATTCTATTGTCTAGATTTGTCAATAAGTTTTTCTGCTTATTAATCATTTAGATGGCTCGTCTGGAAAATGTCAATTTGTCTTCATATCACCACACCAATGATTTGTGTTGGAATTAACCAAGAGTGGAAAAGGGGAACAGTTGACCCTAAAAAACAATTGTGCCTGATTCACTGTGATTCTCTTCCCAAGATACCAGTACTTCTACTTTGTCAGATCTCAAACATCTTCTGTGTCATCACTAAGCAGATATTATGAGTAGGTATGGAGAGGCTATACAGCAGTGTGGGAAAAAACACAAAGTTCTCTTGAAATTAGGTTTTTGTTTGGTTTCTATTTTATTTTAAATTTGTTATTAATTTTATTAAAGAAAACCTATGCTAATTTTAAAAGAACTATAGAAGTAGTAAACTTTAAAGAGGATAGATAGATAGATAGATAGATAGATAATCATATTGACCGTCTTTAACATAATAAAACATGGATTTTCATTTGGTCTTTGAATTCAGAGAAAACCCACTTAGAAGGAAAAATAAAGACTCCTTCTCTCGTGTACTTATCTTGGGTGATCACAGCACCCAGAAATACCTCTCACCTAAAGATGTTCTGGCAGGAACAGCATCCTTATTGATCCAGAAGGACACCCAGGATAGGACCACGATGAGTGTGCAGGGAATGTAAGTCTGGATGGTAAAGTACCCCATTCTTCTGCTCAGATCAAAGTACACAGACATGACCACATAGTCACCTGGAAGAGAAAGACTAAGCTATGGGAATGCACCAAACACTGTGTGTATGTTCAATTCTTACTCACATTTAATTTCTGACATTACATGAGAGCTAACTTGAAAGTTCTTGTCTAACTACTTGGTCAAAAAGGCAATAACCAAAGTATGAAACACAATCCAGCCTGAGATAAAGCCTAGCCCTTCTAGAAGAAATGGTACTATCAGAGAGAAAAGAAAGTATTTTTTGCATTTTAAAAGTATTTCTTCTTCTGGATGATTCTAGATCTTGACTTTCTATATGCAGCAACAACATACAAGGTCTTCTTTGTTCTGAGTGGAATGATATCCTCTATGAACTAAGCCTTGCTTGTGGGTCGTGTAGTACAGATTCAGTAACAATGAATTCCCCATATTACTTCTCTATATATAGACCACTAGAGAGTGTCTTGGTGATTGACACTTACAACATAATATTTTACTCAAAATTTATAGTCCCTTTCCTACAATGAGATATTTGCTCAGGGTTTCACTGAATCACATGGTAGTTTCATAACAATTGCATTCATCATGACTATGCTTTTATTTGAGTGCTATTGATGTTATAAGCGCTGCCATCTGATTTTATGTGCATGCATGAATCCCTGGATGGTGCCCATTTTCTCCAGGATCCCACAGTACTTAACATAGTGCTTGAGAGAAAATGAGCAGCCCTAATATTTGATGATACATCCACAAAATTATAATGAATATTTTAAAGTTCAAGGAGCATATTATGAAACATTTGGGTTTTAAAAGTGGGTGTGGGTATGGTACGACATTTAGGCTAACAAAGGGTGATGTTAGGAGTTAAGAAAGAATGGAATTCTGTGAAAAGGTTACATGAAACTTGAAAGGGTGTATACAGCTATTATTTTTCTAGTTTCAACTATTATAGTACTTTTTTTCTTAATTTTTCAGGTAACTCAGTGAATACATGTAACTGATAATGAAATTAAAACTGAAATGAAGATCCATTGCTTCTGAATAAGGATTCTAATGGAACAGAAGTCCACTGAGACATGTAGACTCTGAGATGGTGCAAGTGTCTGTGTGGCTACCTTAAATTTCAACGTGTGAAATTTGTAGTTTTGAGTTCTGGGCAATAAGTTGTCTTTGTATTTTTAAAAGAATTTGTTACTTTTAAAATATATTTTGGAGTTTTTCTATAATCCCAGCATGAAGCAGGATGATAGCCTAATCAGTTTGTATAGCAGTCTAGGCTAAAGAGTGAGTTCTCAGACAGCCTGTGTTATATAGTAAAACGGTGTTTCCAACCAACAAATAAGCAAGCAAACAAACAACCAAAACTAAATCAAATCAACCAAACAAAAAACTTCCTATCTAAGAATTTATATAAAACCAAACTGACGGATTATTATTTATAAATTAGGTTTGATGAGATGACCACTGTCTACAGTGGTTCAACTTTTAAGTTAAGGAAAAAATTTTACTTTGTAAATAATATAAAATAAAAACTAAAAAATAAAAATAAAAAAGATTTTAAAATCTGAAAAAAAGAATTTATATAAAAAAATCAAGAAATTTATTTTAAAATCTCTGAGGAATTAAAGAATAGCCATACAGCAACTCATGAAAATAACATACTTAAGACAATCTAAGTCAATGGTTTCAGAAAGCGAACATGAATAAGTTGCTTGTGAGACCACTGTCATTAGCTTGTACCAGTCCTATAAAACAAACTATGATCCCTCTCAAAATTACAAGATACAACATGGCTCATCTATCAACCAATCTACATTTGTACCTTCAAAATAAAGAATTTCAACCACTTCAATTTTAGTAACTGTTTGGTTTTTCTTGTTTTGTTTTATTTTGTTTTGTTTTGTTTTGTTGTTTTTGTAGTGTGTGAGCAAGTGAGAGTCTAGACTTTTACATTAATGATCTGAGTCCTCAAAAGTAAACTTTAATTTTGTTCCCATTAACAAGATTCTAATCCTGGTGTGATTCCCCATTTCCCTAAAGGGTCTAGCCTCTCACAGTTTGCTTATCTACCTGCCTCTATTACAAGTTGATGGCTTCTGAACACCTTCATTCCTTGCTTGCAAACCCTGTACCTTTTCTAGCAGTAGATTATGGTTGCAAACCGCAGACCAAGCCACTTAAAAGCAAAGCAGCTTCAGAGAGACAGCATGATGCCTGTCTTATCACTAAGCCCACATCATATTTTATATGCTTAAAAACTCTTATGCTGAGGAGCCCAGAAAATCTAATCCTCTTAAAGTGCTACATCAGTGATTTCCTCAAGCCCCAAAGGTTACAGGCTAAGCAAGTCAATGATGGTGACACTCAAATCTACCTGTTCCATTGATAAGTCCGGACACTTAATACTTAAAGTCATAGTATTTGGTAAATTAACCCCATCTCTGTTTATACTATCATGGAAAGATACATTCTATAATGGGAGGAGATGAAAAGTAAAATTTGAATTAATAAACACAAATGTTAATCCTTTTTTTTTTATTTTTTAGGAAGTTTCCTATGACTGGTTTGAGGAGTCCAAGCCTCAGTGTCAGTGAAGAATGAGGCCCTAGTTGCTGTTTAGCTATGGTAATAAGCAGTCATATGAAAGCATTGAAATTCTTTAGTTAGTGTTTGACAAAAGCCAATGAGACAAATAGCACAACTGATGAGATGCACTAGATTTTAGAAAAGAATACTGAATTAGACCAGCCTATAAACATCCTAATTAAAAAATGGAAGCAAAGAGATATGTTATGTTGGGAAGGAGATTTTACATTTGTTATAACTGGAAAGGAAAGCTATATCTTCCACCAAAACTATTGGGTGTTCCAGCTCACTGCCTTGATCCTACCTCAACTGCATCAAAGCTGTTTGCTTCTAAGACTTGCTTCCAGGACAACTCAAAACAGAGAGTTCACTTGGTCCAGACTCTTATACTGTTCCAGTTGGGATTTCATTTAAGCCTGTACTTTCTCAGCACACAGAGACTGGACAAGTGCTACAGCTATCTTTCTTAAAACTAAACACGTTTCTAATTTCCTTGGACCCCCCCCCAAAAAAAATAGTATTTTGTCTCGATTCCCCAGGAAGCAATTATAAGAAAACTGCCATCCCTATTCCTTAGGTTGGGGTGCATAGTTCTGGTAATTTTATAAATTACAGATATATTATCATTTTAGGGGATTGTTACAAATAATTATGATCTTGGATAGGAAGGAAACAAAATAGAGAAGTTAAAATCAAAGATTCCTTTATCTTTCTTTCTGCCTTGGTAAGGAAAACAAAATGAAAAGAAACAAATTGAAAACAAAAATGATGGATATAGAATTATAAAAATTTAGACAAATGGGGGTAGATTATTCAATGTACTCTTAAGCCCAAGAACATTTCAAACACATAATCTTACATTGGTAAGAAGCTTTATATTTTGATGCAAAATTGAGATTGAATTTTGTTACATTGTTACAGGATTTTGAATATTTATATGGGTTTAAGGTTTAATTGGTACGAATTTTTGTATAAATTGGAATAAGATTTTAGATTTGATTTTTTTTGCAACACAATTATTTTATGTTTCAACGCTTATATAGCTATAATACCTATGCAACTCACTTAAAATACAATGTTAGTTCCAGTCCTTTTAATACTTGCTATTACAAACTCTTTAGATTAATTAAGTATGCTCATTAATAGTCAACCAAAGTCACATGGTTGAAGACTAGGTAGTCATTGTTTTACTATAAGCTTAATTTGTTTAGGATTTAAGACAATGTTCGCCATCTAAGAAGATATTTTCAGGTTGATAATGCAAGTTAAGATAGAAATTGATTTAAATACAGAACTCTGAATTCATCAGGATAGGATACATAATAGAATACTTTCTCCTGAGTTTCCAAATAAACACAAACTGGACTTTTATAATGAACTTCTTGTCTAATAATTTTCATAATTTTTTCATAATTGTTCGTAGTCTATGTTGTTTTCATTATAAGAGAAAAAGCCTTTTTATGTAGACAAAAAAGGAGGAAATTGCTGAGGTTTGGTCTGTTGCTATGTATTATAATGCTACACTCTACCTACAGATCTAGGCCTATGAGTGAATTCTCAGTTACCTGATTTTGCTGTGCAAACCTTATTCCTTAATTTAAAACTGTTGGCCCCAGCCAATTGCTAGAGGGATTATAGGTGGGTGGGTTTTTGAGTTATCTGTCTGAAGTAAGAGATAGGAAAGAACATTGAGGTGAGGAGAAGGCACGATGACAGAAGGTATACTATGCGCATATGACCAAGAGAAACAGCAAGTATTTGGGCAACACCACTGGGGAGGTAGCCAGGCCAGCATTTAGAAAAGTAGATTAGTCTCATTTATTTGTAAACTAGTCACAGATAAGCCTAAGTTGGTTCTACTACACTTGACCTTGTCTTTTATACACAAAAGTGTTTACTCTGAAAATCTTAATGGTTTCATGGAGAGAATTTGCCTCTCTAGGAGCTCTGTGGTAATTAGATGGTACCTTGAAGTTGCCAGTAGTAAGGGCTTGCTTCATGTAAGCACTAGGTTGAAGGGTTGGTATGTGTTTTATGAAAATGTCCTAAATACTTTGTCATAATAATGAAAAAATAGAAACAAAAAAATGAACTTCACATACACTTTCACTTTCTTCATCTCTCATGATGCTAAATCTGCTTACGTATAGTAGAACTGAGCATATCTACTAGATTAACAGTGAAAGCAAAGGATGGTTTACTCTACCTTCCTTTCACATATGCGTTTCTTACCAACAAAAATAAAGTTGCATGATGTTACAGTTGGATCTATTTTAAATGGGTTATATGGAAGGAAAGTGTCTAGAAGCCAGCAATGAACGTGGTGAGACAAAGCATTCAGCCTGTCTTTATCATCTCCTTCCACATTGAGATTGAGGACACCCTCCATGGCAGGAGAGTTGATTGACTTGCTTTCATTAGATAAAATTTTTTCCAAAATTAAATCTGTCCT